ATTTGGATTTTCTGCCATAAATTAATGATTCTCACCCAACGATTTCCTTAGTTTGTTTTAATTATTCAAAAAATTATTTATTTTTTATACATGATAAGATTTTTTTAACTATTTTGACTCGTTTTGTGTTATTTATAAAAATTTTCAATTTTTTAGTTGTTTTCTATAAATTTCAATAAATTTTTTTTCGTTCCGTTATACAACTTGAAGCGTTCCTTATCAGTGATTTTATTAACACTTAAAAAATATTGAAGTTACATAATCATGATTGTTTTTATAATCAATTATATTTGAAATGTAGAAAAAATCACCTAATCAAATTCTCGAAAATTCGTAAATTATTTTGTACTAATATTCAATTTTCGTAGCTTAGAAAAACAAGGTATACCATAAGTAGTTTATACGTTCACCGAAAAAATCGAAATTTATGAACACAGTGTTTTGTTACCTACATATATCTCTTAAGTTCAAATTTGATGACACATTATATTTTATATAATTATATAATATAATATTTATAATATATTATAACTTATTTTGTTGAAATATTAGTATTATTAATAATACTTGTTGTATTATACTATTATACATTGTTTTATGTAAATTATAGGAATTAATTCAACTCAATGGCTAGGTTCCGTAGACCGTATGGCGTATAGTAGGTATAATACTATAATGGTACAATAAATAGGTATAATATAAGATATCGTTGGCTGACACATCGTCTCTGCTCAGAATCCTATTTAGTATTTACACACTTTTCTTAAGTTCGCTTTCACGTCTGTTTGTCTGTAATCAAATCTTGCGCGCTCGATTTGAGGCACTTTTTGACGATGAAAAATTCTGAAAATTGGTATAGACCTCGGTATTGGATGACAATACAATAATCCGTAGTCATTTTGGGACCCGGACCTCCAGGTCAGCGATCTCCGAGGAAAAAATAAAATTTTTTTTTTTTTAAAACACACTTTTCTAAAAAAACAATACAAAAAAATAATGAAAAATTAACTGAAGAAAAATTTAAAAGTGTGTGGTGCTCTTACACTTGAAATATACTCCCAGTCACTATCTTATAAACAGGATTGAACATAGAAGTGTATGTGAGACTTAGGTCGGCTTTAAATGTTTTGTATGATGCACCACACACTTTTAAATGTTTCATCAGTTAATTTTTCATTATTTTTTTGTATTGTTTTTTTAGAAAAGTGTGTTTTTAAAATTTTTTTTTAAATTAAAATTTTTTTTTTTGTGTACAACGATATTATATTATCATTGAATTCAAATTCAACACCATCCATTACAGGTGGCTTTTCTAATAGGTAATTGGGCAAATGGGTAATGGTCATCAATGATAAACATTACGTGTCCATTACCTATTTGCCCGATTACCTATACCTATATGCATATAGATATAATATAATATACCTACTTGTTATTATATATTTTTTGTTCTACCCAACTAGATACAATTATAACACAATAAAATGACTTACAATCACAAGCCATAAGAGAAACTAGGGGGGCTGGGGGGCTAAGCCCCCTCAAAATAAATTATTCAATTCTCTCCTAAAATATTAACAAATCTTTAAAAATTAAACTGTATTTTTATTTTTTTTTTGGAAAAAAAGTAATTATTTAATCTTTATTTAAACTTTTTTTTTCATATTGCCTATGATAATCATAGTAAATATCATGAGCTGTATGCTGGTATTCTTCAATTTTATCGGAACAAGGATATTTTTCAAAAAGTATAAATATGATCATCTTTCCCAAAAAATGTACAACAACCTTATTATGTAGCTTTACATCATGATCACAATATTGTAAGTAAAATATTATGCACTGTGTCTAGACGCTCGACCATGATAGGATATAACTGTATAAGATATTATATGGCAGACGCATCGTGCGTCCAGACAAAAATAAAATATCATTGAATTAAAATAAATGTATAGAATATTTATTTTCTTACTTATTTATAGTAGGTAGTTGTTGGCGCTGAAAATTATCAATGTGATAATATGCTAATCAGCTCGACGGCGACATCGTCCCTCCTCCTCCTACCGTGATTTATTGTAATTGTTATTTACCATATGTGTTTTGTTTTGTCTATATGTGATAATTATTGCTAGGTCGTTGGCCTCGCGATTATCAATGTTTTTGTTTTGTCTTTTTCGTGATATCTTATTATTGCGGCCAACGCCCTTTTTTTTTTGTTTACACACACACACTCTCATTAATTGTATCGCTCGTTCATAAACACGTTAATTTATTGTTGTTCTATCCTAATCGTTAACAAAATTATTATTGTTCCGCTATTGCAGCGTTTTTCTTTTTTTTCATGTCTTTTTACAATCGTTGTCGGGTGTACGTATTTATTGGTACACACCAACCATAAATTATTATATGTGTACGTATTTTGGTACACACCAATTTTTAAATTATTATCATTGCGGTACGTGCGTCGCTACTGGAAGCCGTTACTGCAACGGCAATACGGCATCATCGTTATTGGTTATAATAAACGTCCAATTGTTACTACTCCAACCGTGAGTTATTTTTTTATATTATTGCTCTATACTCTTGTCATCCGTGGGTGACCTGATCCGGCGGCTTGTACGTACACTGTGCGCCTCACCGTCATCAAGTGCCACCTACTCCCGCGTAAGTCCGCCAGCACTCGCCGTGGTGTGTGGGAGGCCGCCCAGGTCATCATCGCGACTTCCAGGTCCGCGTAAGTCCGCCAGCAACGAACGTTGTGTGAGAGGCCGCCCAGGTCGTCCAGATCACCGTCGGTCCCGCTCAACCACAGCACAAGACTTCGAATAGTTTTAAGATAGATTTAAGTATTGTTCCTGTTTGTTGTGAGCTCTGTGGTCATTGCACCAGACCGAATCGATCACAGAGACCCCCCTCCCCATAACTAGCCTGCACCATCCTCATTCCGTCAAGTAGGTCTTTCCTATCCTCGTCGTTGTCGTCATCGTGCGTAGAATTGCCTACCCACCAACCATCAGGCGAAAGCACCTATAGTTGCCTACCCATCCAAATAGTCGGCACTAGTGGTGGCATTGACCCACCACAATCATAGTAGTTCTCGGGCGTTTCCCCGAGTGGTCCTTCGGGAATGTGTTACGTCAGATGTCTTGGCGTGCACACATATAATCAACTAGTTTTTAATATATATTATCTTAACTTTCAAAACATAATTAAGTTAGAAATAAATTAATATCGTAATGTGTTTGATGCATATTGTATAAAAATAATTATAATCATAAATAAAAGGTGATTAATATATTTTAATAAACCTTATTATTAAATATTAAGGGATACATATAAATATATTATATATATATAATTATATAGGTAAATACCTACCTATTATTTAGTCATAATAAGTAGTAGATACTTATTATTGGAATGCACCATAATAAATTATAGTTATTTCAGTTATATTATTATACAGGATGATCATTTTATCATGAACTACTCACTATATCAAAAACTATTAACTTTTAACGTTTTTGAAAATATTATTTTATATAGCTTGTATATGTTTTTACAAAATAATCTTTTTTTAAAAATTATATTTTTTACCATTTTTTATCGTAATTTTTTATTTACTTGAACGTAACACATTCAAATATAATGTCAGCCAATGACAAAGCCGAGTCTTGATTTTAATAAAAAAAATATATATTAATATTATATTCTGAAGCAGGAATATCTCTTGGAGTATTTTAATACTTACATAAAAATCAAATTTAGAGTGGGAGTGGTACAAGTACCTCGTAAAATGTTTATCTATTACTCCACTTATACTCTATACTTTCACATAATATATGTACATTTTACATAGGTACATAATGTTGTTTAACTTTATAATGATCATAGGTATTAGAAAAAAATGTATGAAATTTAATATATAATACATTAATATTGGTATAAATAATAATATAATTAAAAAGTGTATTAGCTTAGGTACTAGGTTCATATAAATGCTTAATTAAATCGGGCGATATTACAGCGTAAATGATTTTTTCGTATACGAATAATAGGATTCTACTACGATACACCACACGACCCGTTCGTAGTAGAATCCGGTAGTAGAATAGAATCCGTTCGTATACGACCGGCGTTCAAGAATACGGTTTTGTCAAAGTAGTAGAAAAAGTACAAATATTCGTATACGACTATCGTTCTACTACTTTCAAGAATAGGCCCCCTGTCGATCTTAGCGCTTTAGCGGTGGCGGTGGCGGCGGCGCCGTGCCGGGCCGGACGCAATATTAAATGGAAACTATTAATATTATAATAGCTCGTAAGTACTAAGTTACGTTGCAGCGACGCGCAGCCATTCGCAGCCCGTTCGCACAAGTTCTGTACAAAAAAATAATATTCAATATTGTCGTTATATATATATATATATAAATATAAATATATATCTAAAATAAATAAATATAAATAAATAAATTAAAATTAAAAATTAAATTATACGATTAAAATTTTAAATTTAAAAATAGTAAAAAATACCAATATAAATAACCAAATATTTTTTATTTTCGTAAAAATTACAAGTGAGGCGGTGCCTCACTTGCCTCACCCCCAAAACCGCCACGTACTAAGTATGTGTAAAGAGAAAACTATTTATAGACAGTTCTCTTCAAAAAGAAAACAATTATAAATCCGATACAATTATTACTTTGAGTATTGTACATGTATCATGTATGTAATAAACTAATAAAAGGAAGACATTGAACAACAGCAATAGATTTTTTGATAGTTGAATAAGTCATAAATAAAGAAATTGAATAATGGCAATAGATTTTTTCATAAGCAACATTTATATGGCAATCGGGTAGACAATAAAAACACAATTGAACGTTAGCAATACATTTTCAGGATTAAGATAGGCAACTTTGTGTACAAATTGACGAATAGCAATAGATTTTGTGAACCCCTGAAATCTCTTATCAAATATTGCTAACAGAACGTACATCATCAATTTCGGTACAATTCGTAGACTTGGCATAGATATATTATGAGCTGTGGTCGCGTTTTTTTATACGCAATTGTTTGTTGAAGACGTGTTGTACTGTCGTCAGTGTCGTCACTCTCCAGTCGCCAACCGCCGAAACCGCCATTCCACCATCGACGCTGAGAACGATCCTCCAGTCTCCTAAGCCAGACACCGACACCGCTGCCGCCTTTATGAAGCGCAGGCACACGCAACAAAGTAAGCATTTTCACAAAATCAAAGACTTTTGAATTAGAAATTCATAGGTACGTATGCCCTCTAAAAAATATTACCACTTGTGTCGGCGGTCCCCATAGAGTAATAGTTTAGTAATAGCTAGTTTGGCATCAGCCAGATAACACAGTTTGAATAGGTACGCCTATGGGTATACCACCCATGGTCGGACGTCGGACCTATGATTATCTATGTAGGAAAAAATGTATTTCATACAAGTGTCTTTTGTCTCTTACAAAAAAAATCTTAGGACAGATTGACTGAACGCCTCCTGTAATAAATTGCTTTTCGACTAGGTTTTTTGGTCCATGTGCCTACCTATATATTACATTTTACTTTTAAGCGCTTTTAAGTGTCTCCATAAATAATCAATTGTTTGTGTTTGAGCACCTATATGTGGATTTATGAAGTTAATATTGTAGTGAAAAATTTAGTGAAAAAAATTTTACGTACCTAACTAAGTTGTACATTTTTTGGGAAAGGCATTCATACTTACTTATTGAAAAATAACTGAGAAACACATTCTATAATGTACTTTATTTTAATTCAATAATACTTATACAATAATATTCTGATCATGATGTGAAGTTACAAATAAAGTTCCTTAAAGTGGTTGTAGATTTTTTCGGGAAAGACAGTTATACCTAGGTCCAACTTATTCAAAATAACTTTGTTCTTCTAAAAATATACGTAATGGAAAATATAAGAAAATAAGCAGCATTATGTTGTTTTTTACCCTGTCATCACTCTAAAGCACCTAAATTTAGTATTAAGTTTAAACACAATGATGATAATTAAAATTAATCACGATTTTTAAAATATATTTGAAGTTGTTAGGCACATCAGTAAAAGAAATGGACACCATTCAGGCTTCATCTTGTGAAAATAACGAAAATAATCTAAAGCAAGTTCTGAAATCAAATGACTGTGAACCAACTAATTTTAGGAATGACTCACACTCTGTAAGAATACTAGAAGACTTACAATCCCAACGCAAGTATGTTAACAATGATTTTACTATCATTCAAAATAAATATGAGTAACACATTTTTGTTTTTAGAAAAGAAGTTTTATGTGATGTTAGATTTGAAACAGATGATGGTAAAATTGTAATTGGACATAAAAATGTTTTAATAGCAGCTAGTCCATATTTCCGTGCAATGTTTAATAATTTTGATGAGAGAAATGAAGATATTGTTAAAATAAGAGAATTAGATTCCACCATTTTACTACTATTAGTAGATTATATCTATACTGGAGAAATTATGGTCACAAAAGAAAATGTGCAGGTATAATTAAATATCAATTAAATATTTAATCTTATATAGACTTGAAACAACATAATATCATTTTTTGTGAATTATTTTTTGATTTCTAAGGTGTTATTACCAGCTGCAAATGTATTGCAGTTAGATTATGTAATTGGTGTATGTGCTGAGTTTTTACAAAAACAACTGAATCCATCAAATTGTCTTGGTATCAGAGCGTTTGCTGACTTACATAACTGTACTGATTTGTTGTCAATTTCTGAAGCATATATTAAACAAAATGTTTTGTATGAATAACATTTTTTAATTCTCTATATCAAGAGTAAATATGTAATTTATAATAAAAATAATGATTATTATTTCCAGAGAAGTAGCTAAAGGCGAAGATTTTCTATCCTTATCTTCTGATGATTTGGTGAAGCTTATTTCCTCTAATGACCTTGCTGTTCCATTTGAAGAAAAAGTAAGCAAACTACAAATTGTATTTTTAATATTATGTATGGAAAATCAACAAATAAAGGTGGGCAAGTATACAGTACAGTTGATGTGTAGACTTTACAGGGATCACTGTATTAGATGTGTTATATTTGAATTCAATGATATAACATCATTGTAAATGAAAAGGATTCTGAGCTCTAAAGGTTTAATAATATTACCAAGTATATTTTATGGTATGGTTGATAAACTAATTTATTTTACTATTAGACATTAGTAATACTGTATTTCTGGAGCAGTTTTAATTATTTTTCCAAAAAAGGTGCACATGAAAAGATCATTGTGTACATACAATATAACAGTATACTTTAAAATTTTAAGTTCCTACAAATAATATTTTTAAACTAAATAACTAAAATCAATAAAGCTTGATTACCATAGAAAATAATTTTATTGACTGTTATTGAAAATAAACAAAAACATGTCTTATTTCAAATGTCTATTAATATTAAATAACTCAAAAATAGTTAAAACGTTTTTTAAAATTAGTTCAAATCAATTGTATCTCCTTGATGATAAAGAAGTTTTGCGGTCGGCTCCGACTGTAATTAATTTTCTATAACTTTCACCTCCACGTACCACATTGATTAGTCAGTAGGCCCAAACAATTTCGCAAACGCAGCACATAAACCTTCTACTGCATGTCTATATTGTGATTTATGTATATTCAAAAATAACAAATAATATATATTATTTAATACCATAAAAATATAAAAATTATTTATTAATATTTCTTCGCTTAATATAAACAGGGGATTTTTGGGATCCTGTGATAATTATACACCATTGAATGGTTGAACAAACTATTATTATATTTTAATCTAGTTTTAAATATTTTTTATTGTAGGTATTTGAATGTGTTATCAAATGGGTAAAACATGATTCAGATCATAGAATAGATTTTTTGCCAAAACTAATGGAACATGTACGTTTGCCATTACTAAAGCCTGATATATTATTTAATATATATTATGAAGAACCTCTTCTAAACACTAATCTTAAATGTATGTTATTTACTTAAATTTGCCATCATTATAAATTTATATATTTAATGAGTTATTATTATAATCTATTTAGGTACCAATTATTTAGTTGAATCCTTACATTTTAATCATCAAAAATCAAATTGGCATATTACCATTCCAAAAACAATTAGGTTTAAACCTAGACAGTTTGGTGGTTTTCAAAAAGTATGATTCCAAATTGATTAATTTATCTTCACAATAATTTTGTCCATTAGGTTCTTCTAATGTTCAGTAAGTCTAATACATCGCCAAAGTGTTATACTGAATGGTATGACCCAGCAACCAAGCTAAGAGAGAATGCACCAGGAATAAATGAATGTCGGAATTATGCTGGTTTCGGTGTAATACATGATCAATTTGTGTTTGCTGTGGGAGGTGTAAATCGATCGAGTTCTAAATCTGTTAGTATGCTTGACGTATCTTCAAAATCACCATCATGGGTTCCAATGGCCGACATGTTAGTTAATCGAAGATCATTGGGAGTTGGTGTATTAGATGATTGTATATATGCAGTAAGTTAAATCAATATTTTACTTATTTTATATTAAAAATGTATATTATTTGCACAGATATATACAATAACTAGATAGCTAACTGATTATATCTGACGCACTATGATTAAGAAGCCGAACGCCATATGCGTGGTAGTCAATGTTTTTGTTTGTTATCACTTTATCAATTCGAATTTATCATCATATTATTGTACAGATATTATATTAATAATTATTAATTTATTGTATAAATCTGTGTATTATGTACAGTCAATTATTGCTAATATAATTTTCATTTTTCATAAAAAAAATTGTTTTATGTGATTTTTAAGTACTTAATTAAATATGCCGCAGAACATTTCTTTTTGCTTCTAACTGATAACTTGAAAAACATAAATATACCAAATTTAGAAAATAAAATAATTGCACTTGTCAATAATAAATTTGTGATTGATCGTAATATATTTAAGACACTTAATTGTGAAAATGTATTATATTGGTCGAGTACACATTATTGTTATTTGTTTTTACCTGGTTATACTTGTTTAATCTCTTTTCCGTGGTTCATACATTTATATAATATTATATATTATATAGTTATATATTTGTTATACTACTTATAATTATACGTACTTAACAATTTTATTTTATATTTAAATAAATTACTTATTAATTATTATTAATAATAAGTAATAACACTTTAGTCTTCAATTTAATATATTGTATTTCATAGTGATAAGAAATGATAACAATAATTATTGTAAACATTGACTACCACGCATATGGCGGTTGACTTCCAACTGATACACTAGTTAGCTATCTAGTTATTGTATATATCTGTGATTATTTGTAATTCTAGGTTGGCGGACGTGACGGCAACAATTATTTAAAAAGTGTAGAGGTTTTCGATATCAGTTCCCAAAAATGGAGAAGAGTGTCTAGTATGACAATTGAGAGACGTAAATTGGGCGTTGGTGTACTCAATAATCGTCTATACGCTGTGAATAAATATATCATATTATTATTTATTTATTTTACATTTTATTTAATTAAATTGTGTAGGTTGGTGGTTCTGCAAATGGTGAAAGTTTTAAATCTGTGGAGTATTATGATCCCACGCTTGACATATGGACTCCAGTTGCAGAAATGTCTGAGTGTCGTCGAGGTGTTAGTGTAGGAGTTTTGGATGGTCTTATGTACGCTATTGGTGGCCATAATAGAAAGGGCTATCTTAAAAGTGTTGAGGTTTATAAACCAAGTGATGGAGTTTGGTATTCTATAGCTGACATGCATTTATCCCGTCATTGTCCTGGTAACTATAACAATATATTTTTTTAGAATAACCTTTGTAAAAATATATTGAATTTAAATTACATTATCTTATAGGAGTAGCCGTGTTAGATGGTTTATTGTATGTTTTTGGCGGAGACAGAAAACCTAGTGTTGATACTTTTGAAATTTACAATTCTAACACCAATACTTGGACCTTGGAAAAATTGTCAAGAATTGGAGTACAAATTTATGGTGGAGTAGTTGTCGATAGACCACATCTTTATCATTAATCAGCTTACAGTAGTACTCGTTGTTAATAGTAATAATGAACAAATTTTTGTGTAAATTATGATGACACGTGTATAGTTTTAAATATTTTTGTTATTTTGAATACCTATTTGATAAGAATGTTTTATTTATAATTTATACTAACTATTTTCAA